AGGTTTTAGTGTTCTTTTCCCTTTCTTTGTAAATTAAAAACTTCATCTTAACTTGCCTTCTCAAGAAGGATGCAATTGTACCCATTCTGCTCACACAGCCCACTGAAACACTGAGAGTGGGTGGAGCAAAAATGATCACCTCAGGCAACTCTGAATGTGTGTGCAGAGAGAGGCAAATTTATTATACAAGTCTTCTTCATCTGGCTTGCATCCACCATGCTATGCTGCAAGCTTTCAATTATTTTATTTTATTCTATTTTGAGACATGGTTTCACTAGATATTTCAGGGTAGTCTTGACCTCATGCTGTAGCCCAGACTGGCCCGAATGTACTACAATCCTCCTGCTTCAACCTTCCTTCTGTCTTCCTGTGTGTCCAAAGGTCCTCTTATAAGTATACCAGTCACAATAGATTCTGGCTTTCCTAACAACCATGGTTGACCTCAATCACCTATTAAAATTCCTGTTTCCGTATGTAGTCATATCCTAGGCACAGATTAGCCCATAACCCCTTCTAATTTTTTCTCACTCAAGGCCAATTGCTTCACCCAGTTCTATTTTTAAAAAAAAGACAGAGGTCAGTTTTGACTTCTTACACCAAGCACTGTCCATTAGCAAATCCAGTTGACTCTACTTTCAGAATATATCAAAAGGTGCCCACTTGCCTAATGTCTACTCCAAAACTCTAGTTCAGCAAGATTTTCTCTCTTGGAGTACTTTAACAGATTCCCCCCAGTCCTGATGAGATTGTGCCCCTCTACCAAAGGTCTTATGACTTCCCTCACAATGGCCAGAGTGGTCATTTCAAAATAAAGATTGTACTACATTTTCTGCCTGGAATTCTGTAAGAGTTCCTAATTGTTCTTATAATAAGAAATAAATTGCCTACTTAGTCTCCCAACAATCACCTGTCCCTCTTTTTTTTGAAGAGTGGTGAGCTCTCTGAATGTGAAAAAATGTAGAACCTTTTCAATTTCTTTATGCTCTGATCTGTGTGCAATGCTACAGTAAGATTTTCTAGGGAAGATGAATATTGATAGGGTGGAAAAACTTGTGCTTCCAGTGAGGAAATTGCACTGGGTCCCTCTGATCTAAGTCGGAGATCATGGAAATGGAAGCTACTGTGTACATTGGATTGACCAAACATTCTGATGGTATAATTAGCAAATAAACACATTTATCTGTGGTACTTAAACTTAGCCTATGTTTTCCTAAAAATTCTGGTAGTATAATTATTATGGTAGTCAACATACCTTATTTTGTCCTTATTTTGCTCCATGAAGCTTGATTCCTCTTACATCCTCTAACTTTCTTTCATAGCCCAGATTAATGAATGCAGGAAACATTCATTAAACCTGAAACAGCACTGCTTTAGACTTTAAGCTAAAGTTATGTTCCACAATTTATAAGGTATACAAATGATAGTTGATATGTCTGTAATGTAAAACCTGCAACATCTATTAAGAAATCTATACAAAGAAATACACTAAAAAATAGATAAAGGAAATATTATAAGGTAAATAAACGGGTACTAATTTTACATAAGTTCCTATGTAATTTTTTGCAAAAATTTTGTGTAGTCATAAAAACAGCCTGTTGACTCTGCCCCCCTCTGAACCAAACCCAGTGGAAAGGCTTAAGAGGTTGGTCCTGTCTGTAATGTGACAACAGTGACTTCCCAAAGACTCTGATATATTACATGGCAAAGGAGGGTTAAGTATCTTGATCTTGTGATATTAAATAAGAGATCATCCTGGACTATGCAGGTGGTCCAAGGTAATTACGGTTTCTTTAAGTGTACAAAGAGGAGGCAGGGGAGTGTGTGGCTGGGTGATATGCTGGGCTGGAAGAAGGAACTGCCCATCACCGGCTCTGAAGATGGAAAAATGTGAGGCAGAGAGCAGGATTCTTCCCCAGAGCCTCCAGAAGGGGACTCAGCCCTCACACATGGACTCAACCCAGGGAGACCCATTTCAGACCTCTCAACTGCAGCACTGTACTGTAGTAACAAGTCCTGTTGATTTAAATTACTAAGTGCATGATAATGTATCATAGCAGCAATGGGAAAATCATTACACTTCCTACAGGTTTGTTCCATGTTCCCCTTTGGACTCTGACAAGGGTTGGATCCTGTTTAAAGCATTTTAGAGGGATAAAATTATGATATTAACACAAGAGATGGCAAGTAAGCATCCCTTCTAAAATGAAAACGCTCAGAATACATTTCAGGGAAACTTTATTCAGCCCTTATTAAATAGGATGGAACTAAGAAATGCCCCTCTTGTGCATCTACGATATACTACACTCATCCACGATCAACTCCTTGATGTTTCTCCTCTGCTGAGTACATCTGGTTTTTCACTACGTTTCTACAATCACGCACTCTCTTGTAGTATATGATAGGCTTCTTTAAGCATTTGAGTCTTCCCGGAAAGTGGAGGATGGTAAATAGGTAGACATGGCTGCTATGGACTTTGTTTCTTTTTCTAAATTAAAAACAAAACAAGAGTTACCAAGAGAACTGAGTGCTTCAAAGACCAGGCCCATCTTTTGTCATTTCCCACTGTGACGTTGGGCATGGCATTTAATTTCTCCTGTGCTTTAAATGCCATAAGTGAAACATTTACACACTACTGATAATCATTTTAGGCCATAAAGAAACCACTTTAAGGGCTTTTTTAAATCCAAGAATGATATTAAGTATTAAGTTTTTTGAGTCAGGACCTCATATAGCCCAAACTGGCCTCCTGCCTCAGCTTCCCAAGTGCTGAGAACACAGTATGCTCTATAAATCAGAAAACGTGATGGCTTTTCTTAGCCTCTGTCAGCAATGATTCCATGGGCTACATTGGGACTGACATCTTCAATAGAAAACAAGGACAGAATCTTGCAAAAATCTGGGACGAGGCCTCATTTCTCATCTATTTGGTTGCTAACGTTCCAGACAGCTGGACATGGAAGAGCTCAGAGAGGAAAGGAATTGCTTTACCGTCCTTATTAGATTTTACAGCTGATCTCAGCATCTAAGAACAGTGTACTTTTCAGGGAGATAAAACCAGGATCAGGCAAAGCATGGGGGCACATGACTATCATCCCAGCACTCGGGGAGGCTGAGGCAGGAGGATCACAGTTTCAAGCCCAATGTGGGCAACACAGTGACTTAGCCAGATCTTGTCTCAAAGTTTTAAAACAGGAGGAAGGTAACACCTGAGGACATATTCACTGAAAGCCTCAGGGTCAATCACCAATGACTCAAAAGGAAAAGAAAAAAAAATCCCAAGGGTATCAAATCTCTAGAAAGACAACATGGATAAGAGAGGCAAAACTTACCAGCATGCTTTGCAGTGGACAACCTGAGTCCTGTGGCGGTGCTGTTTTCTACTGCAATTAAGTAAAAAGATGGTTCCCACTCACTTCCGGGAAGTATCACACATGGTGTGTCAGGCATTATGTCAGCAGCCCCCAGCAGTTTTAGTAAACACAGGGACTCTGGTGGCAATAAGCTTCCAGCTTCTAGCCTCTGAGGTACTCTAGCAGGGCTAAACTCCCAGGGGCTACATTGAAAATGCAAATGCACTCCAGGGGGATTTGGTGAAAGCTTTGGTCTCCGTTCACACACACAGTAGTTCCTGATAGAAATGTGTGAACTGGAAATTTGTTCTTGAGCTGCTACCAGATTCCCTTCTCTCCAAGAGTTTCTTTAGTTATTTGAACACTGTGCCTGGATGAGAAGTGTAAAATGGGCGGGGGAACCAAAGTACCACTTCTCCAGGGTGCCTGGAATGCTTCCACAGAGAAACCCTCAAAGTCCAAGAATAGAAGAGAAGACAAAGATCTTCATCTGCTTCAGCTCATCAAAATGAATGGCATGTACTGGAAATAATTGCATAAATGCATTACTTTAAGATATGCTCCTGGATCTCACTTCCTATGAAAAATAGAAGCATCTGGGTTTGTTGGTAATCGCCATAGTTAAAAATCATTTCCTAATAGGCAGAGATGGAAATGGGTGATTCTTCTCTCCAGTAATGACCATCTGGGTCTAGACTGTGAGGCTGCTTCTTGTCAAGTAGGTCCAAGATCAGGACAGAACATGTGTGAGACAGCAGTTATTTGTAAACAGCCACTAGAGGACATAACACTGAACTACAGCTCCTTTGCTCAAACATATTTTCTGTGAAGACAATTACCATCTAAATTTAAAGCCAAACATACAAATCCATTTAAACAGGTCCTTCACCCTTCAATAAACTACAACTAGATTCCTCCAACTACTACTTGCAAGGCTTCGATGCACCTACAGCAGTGCTAGAATACAGCTTTGCTATTCCTTGTAGATAAAATCAGATGGTTCAGAAACCTGCTTTTGTAAGTATGGCCCAAGACGTTCTTTAGCAAAAATCTTAAACATCCTTAAATTATAGGGTTTGGGTTGTGAAAGAGGAGGAAATTGAACTCCTATGACCCCTTTTACTAAAGGTCAGAGAGAAAAATGAAAAAGAGTGGAGGGTTGTGACAGAGTGTGATCAGATAGGACCAATGCTCCACTCAGTTTCTAAACTCTTTTTCCTCCTGTTCAGTCTCAATGCAAATGACTTCTATGACTATCAAAAGTATACATAAAAGGTTTGCACACAAATCAGGAAAAGAAAAAGAAGTGATTAACTTCATACTCCCCACCACATCCATCAACCTCACCTAGACACGAAGATTTCCTGCCTGCACAGTAGTCCAGAGGCTGATAATCAGGAAAGGTAGCACAGATATCAGGGATGAGAGATGTAAGCAGTCAACAAATTCTGACTGTTAATAATGCTCTGTGAAATGTTTACATTTCTCTCATTTTTCAAATTTTTTGACAAAAGTTTGCCCTACCCCAAAGAACAGACCCACAAAAGTTTCCCAAAATATTAGTCACTACAATAAGTCTTTCCTAAGCAATGAGATATAATCAAAAGAAAAAGAAAGGGGAAAAGTGATGCACGTTTTAAGGAAAGACTCTTAACCTGTGGCCTCATTGGCTTCTTCCACAGAATCAAAGGTAGACACATCCAAGGCAGTAAAGAACTCTGGGAAAAAATGTGAAACACAAGGGTGGGAATTCAGTGCCCTGGAGGAAAACAAAGTTTCATTCAACCATGCAGAAGATGGGGGAGGAGGAGGACAGCAATGCCTGCCCAGGCCTTCACTCACTCAAAGTCTGTGTGTCCTCCTGGGATATGTCTCTGGTGGATTCTGGGCTGTGTGTCTGGGATTCACCAGCACTTGAATCTTCATCTATGACAGGCTCTGTATCAACAGTGACCTCAGTTATTATTGTGGCTTGTATCTAAATGTCCCCCAAAAGCCCCATGGAGTCATGGGTAGGGGTTTAGTAGGTGATTGGATTAGGGTGTGTGAATGTAGATTAAGGGTGTGATGCTGAGACATAGCGTGTGGGAAATCATAGCCCCACTCTGGTATGAGTGGCACGGAGCAATAGACTTAACACTCAGATGAAATACAAAAGTGAGAGAGGAAAGGCAGGCTTGCTACTGCTTGTTCCTGCCTTCTGCCTTCCCAGTCCTGCCATAAGCAGTTTCTCTTCTGCAATGTCCTCCGCCAGGCCACCTTTCTGTGCAACCACTTGACTATGGACTGAAAACTCTACAAACTGTGAGCTGATATAAACACATGGATGTTGAGTGTTTTATCTCAGCAATGAGAAGAAGAACTAAGACAGAGGAGGAAATGTCTGACTCCTGGGCAGTAGAGAATTTTGGGAAAAAAAATATGTAAAACATAGGTGTGGCTACCAGTTAATAGTAGAAGTCCAGTATATTGGAGGAAAGCAAGATTCAAGCATGCAGGAGATGAGGGGCATCAATGACTGTTCAGTCCTCCTCTGAAGCAAGGCCTTCACTTACTCAAAGTCTGCGTGTCTTCCTGGGATATGTTTCTGGTGAACTCTGGGCTGTGGGTCTGGGATATGCCAGCAGTTGAATGTTCATCTATGACAGGCTCTGTATCAAACAGTTAGCTCACTTATTATTGTGCCTTGTATCTAGATGTCCCCCCAAAGCCCCATGCAGTCCTGGGTAGGGAGTTCAGAGGGTGAGTGGATTAGTGTGTGTGAATGTGGTTTCAGGGTGCAATGATACTGGGATGTAGGGTATGGAAAATTGTAGCTGCACTCTGGTGTGAGTGGCACAATCAATAGGTTTAACACTTGAATAGAAAAGGAAGAAAGGAAAGGCAGGCTTGCTACTGCTTGTTCCTGCCTTCTGCCTTCCCTGCCTTGTCATGAGTCGTTTCTCTTCTGCAGTGTCCTCCACCTTGCCACCCTGCCATGCAACCAGCTGAGTAAAGACTGAAACCTCTACAAACTGAGAGCTGAAATGACTCTTTCCTCCTTTAACTTTGAGTGTGGGCATTTTATCTCAGCAATGAGAAAAGGAACTAAGACAGAGGAGGACATGGCTGACTCCAAGGCAGTACAGAATTCTGCAAATTATATATATATGTGTGTGTTTGTTTGTGTGTGTGTGTGTGTGTGTGTGTGTGTGTGTGTAAAACATAGGTGTGTCTACCAGTTAATGGTAGAAATCCAATACACTGGAGGAAAGTGGGATTCAACCATGCAGGATATGGGGATCAACAATGCCTGCCCAGGCCTCCTCTGAAGCAAGGCCTTCACTTACTTAAAGTCTGTGTGTCCTCCTGGGATATGTCTCTGGTGGACTCTGGGCCATGAGTCTGGGATACACCAGCAGTTGAATGTTCATCTATGACAGGCTCTGTATCAACAGTTAGCTCAGTTATTATTATGTCTTCTACCTAGATATCCCCCCAAAACCCAATGCAGTTAGGGGAGAGAAGTTTAGAGGGTGACTGTATTAGGGTGTGTGAATGATTAGGATGGATACTGGGATTAAAGTTGTGTGTAATAGTAGCCCCACCCTAATGACATCCCATAAACTTACAGCCCGGATGTAAAATAAAAGAAGAAAGCAGGGGGGGGGGACTTCCTACTCCCTGTTGCCTTCTCCTGAATTCCTTGCCCTGCCATGAGCTGCTTCTCCTCTGCAATGTCCTCTGCCATGCCACCCTGCATACAACCAGCTGACCATGGACTGAAACCTCTACAAACTGTGAGCTGAAATACCTCTTTCCTTCTTTAACTTTGATTGTGGGCATTTTATCTAAGCAACAAGAAAAAGAGCTAAGACAGAGGAGGACATGCCTGACTCCTAGGCAGTAGAGAATTCTTAAAAAAAATGTGAATCATGGGTGTGGCTACCATTTAATGGTAGAAATCCAATACACTGCAGTAAAGCAGTATTTCATTCCAGCATGCAGTACATGGGAGTCAGCCATGCCTGCCCAGGTCTCCTCTAAAACAAGGCCTTCTCTTACTGAAAGTCTGTGTGTCCTCCTGGGATATGTCTCCGGTGGACTCTGGGCCATGGGTCTGGGATACACCAGCACTTGAATCTTCATCTATGACAGGCTCTGTATCAACAGTGACCTCAGTTATTGTTGTGGCTTGTATACAGATGTCCCCCCAAAGCCCCATGCAGTCCTGGGTGAGGAGATAGAGGGTGACTGGATTAGTGTGTGTTAATGGGAATTAAGGGTGTGATACTGGTATATAGGGTATGGGAAATCATAGCCCCACTCTGGTGTGAGTGGCTCTGATCAAAAGGCTTAACTCTTGGATGGGATACAAAAGAAGAGAGGGAAGGCAGGCTTGCTCCTGCCTGTTGCTGCCTTCTGCCTTCCCTGCCCTGCCATGAGCTATTTCTCTCTGTGACGCCCTCTTCCTTGACCCCTGCTGTGGAACCATCTGACCATGTACTGAAACCTCTAAAAACTGTGAGCTGATATAAGCCTCTTTTACTTCTGTGGTGAGTGTTTTATCTCAGCGATGAGAAAGGGAACTAAGATAGACGAATATATGTCTGACTCCAAGGCAGTAGAGAATTCTGGAAAAAAATATGTGAAACAGGTGTGGCTACAAGTCAATGGTGGCACTTCAATACACTGTAGAAAAGCAGAGTTTCATGCAAGCATGCAGGAGAGGGGGGTCAGCAATGCCTGCCCAGGCCTCCTCTGAAGCAAGGCCTTCACTTACTCAAAGTCTGTGTGTCTTCCTGGGATATGTCTCCGGTGGACTCTGGGCTGTGGGTCTGGGATACACCAGCAGTTGAATGTTCAACTATGACAGGCTCTGTATCAACAGTGGACTCAATTATTACTGTGCCTTCTACCTAGATGTCCCCCCAAAGCCCCATGCATTCATAGGTGGGGAGTTTAAAGGGTGACTGGATTAGAATGCATGAATATGGATTAAAGGTGCAATCCAGGATTAAGGGTATGTGTAATAGCAACACCACATTAGTGTGAGTGACACCAATATATAAACTTACAGCCTGTATGTAAAATAAAAGAAGAAAGGAAGAACAAACTGCCATTGACACCTCCTGAATTTCCTGCATTGCCATTAGCTGTTTCTCCTCTGTAATTTCCTCTGCCATGACACCCTGCTGTGCAAACAGCTGACTATGGACTGAAACATCTACAAACTGTGAGCTGATATAAACTTCCTCTTTTCCTTGGGTGTGGAGTGTTTTATCTCAGCACACTGGAGGAAAGCAGGGTTTCATTCAAGCATGCAGGAAGGTAGTGTCAGAAATGCCTGCCCTGGCCTCCTCTGAAGCAAGGCCTTCACTTACTCAAAGTCTGTGTGTCCTCCTGGGATATGTCTCCGGTGGACTCTGGGACATGGGTCTGGGATACACCAGTAGTTGAATGTTCATCTATGACAGGCTCTGTATCACAAGTACCCTCAGTTATAACTGTGGCTTGTATCTCGATGTCCCCCCAAAGCCCCATGCATCACCAGTGGGATTTTAGAGTGACTGGATGAGGGTGTGGTAATGTGGATTAAGGGTGTGATAGTGGTATATAGGGTGTGGATAATCCTAGCCCCACCCTGGTATGAGTGGGAATAAAAAAGAACAGAAGGAAGGCAGGCTTACTACTGCTTGTTCCTGCCTTCTGCCTTCCCTGCCTTGCCATGAGTCGTTTCTCTTCTGCAATGTCCTCTGCCATGCCACCCTGCTGTGCAACCATCTGAGTAAAGACTGAAACCTCCACAAACAGTGAGATAAAATGATTGTTTCCTCCCTTAACTTTGAGTGTGGGCATTTTATCTCAGCAATGAGAAAAAGAACTAAAACAGAGGAGGACATGCCTGACTCCTAGGCAGTAGAGAATTCTGGGGAAAAAATATGTGAAACATAAGTGTGGCTACCAATTAATGGTAGACTTCAATACACTAGACAGCAGAGTTTCATTAAAGCATGTGGGGGTGGGGGGGAGGTAGCAATGCCTTCCCAGGACTCCTCTAAGACAAGGCCTTCACTTACTCAAGGTCTGTGTGTCCTCCTGGGATATGTCTCCAGTGGACTCTGGGCTGTAGGTCTGGGATACACCAGTAGTTGAGTGTTCATCTATGACAGGCTCTGTATCAACAGTGGAGTCAATTATTATTGTGGCTTGAACTAGATGTCCTGCCAAAACCCCATGTATTCCTGGGTCAGGAGTTTAGAGGGTGATTGGATTATGGTGTGTGAATGTGGGTTAGGGGTGTGATAATTGGATGTAGGGTGTGGAATCTTAGCCCCACCCTGGTGTGAGTGGCAAAAATCAATAGGTTTAACACTTGGATGGAATTCAAAAGGAAGGAAGGAAAGGCAGGCTTGCTACTGCTTGTTCCTGCCTTCTGCCTTCCTTGCCTTGCCATGAGTCATTTCTCTTCTGCAATGTCCTCTGCCATGCCACCCTGCTGTGCAACCAGCTGAGTGTAGACTGAAACCTCTACAAACTGAGAGTTGAAATAACTCTTTACTCCTTTAACTTTGAAAGTGGGCATTTTATCACAGCAATGAAAAAAGGAATAAAGACAGAGGAGGACATGGCTTACTCCAAGGCAGTTGAGAATTCTGGAAAAAAAAAAAGTGAAACATGGTGTGGCTACAAGCTAATGGTAGCAATCCAATACACTGGAGGACAGCAGGATTCAAGGGAGTCAGCCATACCTGCCCAGGCCCCCTCTAAAACAAGGCCTTCACTTACTCAAGGTCTGTGTGTCCTCCTGGGATATGTCTCCGGTGGACTCTGGGCCGTGGGTCTGGGATACACCAGCATTTGAATCTTCATCTGTGACAGTCTCTGTATCAACAGTGACCTCAGTTATTATTGTGGCTTGTATCTAGATGTCCCACCAAAGCCCCATGCAGTCCTGGGTGGGGAGATAGAGGGTGACTGGATTAGTGTGTGTCAATGGGAATTAAGGGTGTGATACTGGTACACAGGGTGTGGGAAATCATAGCCCCACTCTGGTGTGAGTGGCACCAATCAAAAGGCTTAACGCTTGGATGGAATACAAAAGAAGAGAGGGAAGGCAGGCTTGCTCCTGCCTGTTGCTGCCTTCCCTGCCCTCCCATGAACTATTTCTCCTCTGCAATATCCTCTGCCTTGCCCACCTGCTGTGGAACCATCTGACCATGGACTGAAACCTCTACAAACTGAGAGCTGAAATAGCTCTTTCTTCCTTTAACTTTGAGTGTGAGCATTTTATCTCAGCAATGAGAAGCAACTAAAACAGAGGAGGACATGTCTGAGTCAAAGGCAGTAGAGAATTCTGGAAAAAAATAAGTGAAACATGGGTGTGGCTACCAGTTAATGGTAGAAATCCAATACACTGGAGGACAGCAGGGTTCCATGCAAACATCCAGGAGATGGGGGTCAGTATTGCCTGTCCAGGCCTCCTCTGAAGCAAGGCCTTCACTTACTCAAAGTCTGTGTGTCCTCCTGGGATATGTCTGTGCTGGTCTCTGGGCCACGGGTCTGGGATTCACCAGCAGTTGAATCGTTGTCTCTGTTTGTGTTTATATCAGGTTTCAGCTCATTTATAATGCTGACCAATTCAGGTAGGTAAGTGACCAATTCTAGAGAAGATAGAAAGAAAAGAAGCGCTCAGTGACTTCCTGGTGAACGTGTTCCTCCAGACCCTTCCTGTTACTAGCTACACCCTTCCTGTGGGGAATACATGGGACATGAAGTTGTCCCTGGATCCAGTGTGGTCACACAAGTCCCAAGAGTACTAGTGTTCCTCCTTTGAGGAGCTCAGTGCAGCAAGGACCTGTCAATACTGTGCCTCTGCCTGTATTGCTCAGACTGGAGCAGAAGGACACTGACCTTCCACAACTTTTGCATATTCCTGAAAGCTAAGGGCAAAAAGTGAGGGATTGTGGGTCAAGGCAAATGGTTATTTCTACATACAGTAAGAATGGAATCGACTCTAAAAAGAGCTATTCCGATCATTTTTTTCATTTAATGAACTATAGGTAAGAGTCCATTCTCAGCTTGTCCTGTAGAATGACTAATCCTGACATCTTGGGGCTGGTTAACCATAGAAGCATCAGGACCATGAAGGTGTGTAGAGGAATAAGCAGGGCCTCCTGGGGCTGTATTCAAAACAATTTCAGAGTCATTGTGGCAGCAGGTGGCACTCTGAGAAAAGGAGCAAAGCCACTACATCTCTAATGCTGTCTTTTTGCTTTTTTCGGGGTTGTTTTTTGTTTTTAAGACAGAGTCTCACTAGTCCCGGGTGGCACTGATCTTCAGAGTGCTATTGTTGTAGACAGGAAACATTAGTTAAAAGTATTATAGGCAGATAGGCACAGCTGGGCCCTCAAAGAAGTCAGTACATTCACTGGAGGATGGGCTTCAAAAGGAAGAGAAATGACTACACGCTCATACTTCCCCTAGGGATGAAGAGCATACCTAACCAGGTCTGAATCACTTTGCGTGAGGGACCAAAACCTCCCTAGCCTGTTCCTTCCTGGAAAATCCTTGTTTATTCCATGTGCGCTTGCTAAGTGACTTGCTTCCCCATTTGATGCCCATTTACTCAATATAACCTAAGCAACTATACATTTTGTAATTGTATTGGTTGACCCAATTATATTGGTTTTGTCCCACCTTATACCCACCTTGTAATTTCCCATTAGATTAACATTATCTAAGCAACTGTATTCGTAATCCCATTAGTTGACCACAGCTTTGTTCCACCTTATCCCTGCCTCACCTCATGGATTTGCTCTTTAAAACACCTTTGAGAAGCAGGGTCCACAGGTCACACTCTCAGATGGAAGCTGTTTCTCTCAATAAATTCTTCCTACTCTTAACCTCTGTTCCTAAAATTCATTCTTCCCTTTCAGAAAACATGAACTCTGTATGTCATACATCTAGCAGGTTGGGAGTTACAATATTTCCCTTATATTATTTGGAGGTCCATATATTATCCCTATGCCACATGTCCCATATCACTACTGAATAGGAGCCACCATGCCAGCCTCAGTTTGCTTTATTTCACACGCAAAGCAGTAAGAAAAGCAACCCGAGAAAGAGGGAAGATGAAGAAACCATTTTCGTGCAAGCCAGTGAGCATCTCTGCTCCGGAGAAATGCACCTGAATTCAAGCTTTGTGTGTGGGGAGAGCTCCTTTTTCTGTGATTGGTGAGAATGTATTTGTTTTATTCCTCATAAGGATTCCTAAATTCTCATCCTAGACCCAGTGATCTCCATTGTCTGTGACCAGCCCAGCTGCTGCAGCTCTCTGAAATTAATTGTATTTCATTGTAAAATGAGAGACAGCTCTGTGTCCTAAATTAAATAGTATTAAATAGGCCTCCTTCACATCAGTCTGGAATGGGATCCACAGGAAAGCCTAACTTGTTCTCTAGTCACCTGCCCTAATCCCATGTGGTCCAGCCATGAGATCAATTCTAACCCGCAAACTAAATCATAGCTTACTCATTCAACTGCCCAAGTTCATCTGCCATCCACCTTTATGCAACTAAACTTTGTAACTTTCATAGACTCTTCCTCTCCCCCGCTACACACACACACACACACACACACACACACCACAACACATCACAAGACCTCTTACCTAGGTCTGGCAAGGGCAAAGCCCCAGCCAGGACGCATAGGGCACAGAGGCCCAGAGCTCTGCAGAGCATGGGGCCAACAGGGAGGGCAGGAGGCTGCAGAAGAGCAGGTGAGCAGTCAGGCAGCGCCCTTCTCAGCCAGAGCTCCTCTGGGTTTTTATGGACAGACCTCTCCACTTTGTCCCCTCGGGCAACATTCCTCAAGCCTCACCCAACCCGGGGAATAGGCCTGGAGGGAAAGCTGGACAGGGACTAGGAGAGGGAATTAAACTCTGATAAGATCCTTTGCAAAATAGGTTGCCTTGCTGAATTATCATATGCACCACCTTCTTCTGCTTCTCCCAGTGGAGGGGAGGAAATTCCTGTTCTACCAGCTGCTGAGACAGCTTCCCTCCTGGCCCAGGACTGCCACATACTGCTTTTCAGAGGCTCAAGAGGCTGCTTTGTGTCAGAGAAGGGGACCCAGTATCACAGCCACCACCTTCAGGTGACTCTGACTCTAAGGGGCATCCTGTTACAAAGAGAAATCTTAGCCCTGTTGTCAGAAGTTGGAAGAGAATTATGGGTATAACCTTAACGACTGCTATGTAGTGATAAGAGAAATATCTAAAACTACAAGATTCTGGGTAAGGGTTTGGCTGAGTGGTGCTGCTGTCTGCCTGCCTCACAGGTGCAAGGTCCTGAGTTCAATCCTCGGTACAAAAAAAAAAAAAAAACTATAGGATTCTGCATATGTTCATCTGTTTCTCAGCATGAACCTATGATGCATATTATCTTTCATTTTCTTCGAGGAATCTCAAGGCCGAGATTAAATAACTCCAGCGTCACAAGACTGGGGAGGTGTCCTGAATGTAGAGTGTTCTTGGTGGTATGGACTGCGGTCCCGTCTTAACTTGGCCCGTCCTCGGGGCCCAGCATGCCCTGATACACATGCTTCGTTGTAGGACTGATTCAGTCTCTGTTTACCTCTCTGATCTTTGTCCACGGAGTGTGGCACTCAAGAGGTTGCACCCTACTGAAGGGGAAATACACACACCCTGGAGAATGTCTTATTTTCCTGGAAACAATTTCCTTGGCAAACCCTGTGCAATAAAGTAGAACCCGAACACAGTAGTTAGGAGCTTGGAGGTGAGACACTCATGAAAATCTTGCAGGCAAACAGCACCGGCAAACCGTGAGCCTCACATGGCATAGGGTGCACTGTCCCGGGCCAGCGGAGGAAGGGGCATTTTACCCGGACTGAGCACAGTACGAGCACATTTCCTGCCGTGGAAAAGTACAAGAATTGAGTCCAGTTGGGCTGAGTTGGATCCCTGAAGTCCTTGAGAAGCTTGGAAGATACAGGGACAGTGACCCCCTTCTTCCAAGCTCTGACTGGGTCCCAGGTACAGGAATTGAACTCGGGGCTTTGCACTGAGCTACAATACTCAGCCCTCTTTTTTCTTTCTCTCTCTCTCTCTCTTTTTTAATTTCTTTTTTGAGTCAAGGTCCCATTAAGTCACTAAATTGAAATTAGGTTTCAACTTGTGATGCTCTTATCTCGAGTCTCCCAGAATGCTAGGATTACAGGTAATCACTCCCAGCTTTGTACAGCTATCATTGTAGGCTCTCATTAAAAAGAATTAATTAACTATATGCCTACAATACCACCACTCAGGGAGACTGAATCAGAAGGATTGCAAATTCAAGCCCAGCCTGGGCAATCTAGCAAAATCTTGTTTCAAAATTTAAAAGGCAGTAAGGATGTAGCTCAAGAGAAGAGTGCCCCTAGGTTAGATCCCCCAGTACTGAAATCAATCAATCAATAAAAATTTGTATTATTATACTAATATTTTGAGTTCCCACAGTATTCTCTGTCATATGTTGTAGATCATGTGATCTCAAGGTTGCAAAATATCTCAAATTATATTCAGTTCACAAAGCTATCCCAGATCTTCTTCTATAAAGAAGCCTATTTTTACCTCATGAAACAACCTCTTTAGGCAGTTTGGCATCCTGGGAAATGGGGTAGTCAGTGTCCGGAGAATACCTCATCTTTGGACAATCGTTCCTTCCAACAGGCTTCTTACAATTTCAGCCATTTGATCGGAGTTCTTTTCCTAAGGACCACATATATTAAAATATTTTTCCCACTTCAGAAAACAAGAACAGCTACCATTTTATCTTCAAATTTCTTCACCATCCTAAAACTAAAATATAAATTTGTTTATGGGTTTTTAAGATATAATCGCTCTATGTACTTCAGGCTGATCTGGAACCCACTGTGTAGTACAGAGTGGCCGTAAATTCCAGGAAATCCTCCTGCCTCAGTCTCCCAAGTGCTGGGATTAGAGACTTGCACTATGACACACGGCTATGTTTGCTCCTATTGTTTTCATCAAAATTCTCCATTGCCCCGTAAATGTTCTGGCACAAAGAGGTCAATTGTTCTTTAATTTATGAATAAATTAGTGACCAGATGACTGCTAATACTAATTCGTCTATGTCTTCTAAAAAAGAAGCTCTAGAATTAAAGCAAATTATCACAGGGTTGATCCAATTAGAGACGGAAATAAAAGTCTTCCATCCTTCTTTCTGAAAACATGTATTGCATCAAACTGGTTTATACACGGACTGAAAGGTGGATCTCCCAGGACACATGGGCAACTTCCTCCCGTCTTACACATGCTCAGAGCCTTTGCGTCTGCCCTCCACAGGGAGGTCAGCTGGGGACATGGGCTGAGCTGGGCGCTGTCCCAGAGAGGCCCCTCTGTCCCTCCCTGCTCCCACCCCAAAAGAACCCAGGTCCTAAGCACCCAGGAGCCTCCAGCCAGGTCAGGGGCTTCTTTGCCTTCAAGCCCCAGTGACCATTCCTCCTGTACTGAGCAAATTTGAAGAAAACAACACTCACATTTCTCACCTGAGCAATAGGACACTCAGCATGGAATAAAGACACTGTGGCCAGGGCTGTCTCTCCTCCAGCCTAGGTAGGGACACAGAGCAGCCTCGCCTCCTGGAGTCAGGGGAAGCACTGTGGAGAACCTGCTCAGTGGACCCAGGCTTAGGCTCTTCAGAAGAAGCTCAGTTGCGGGTTCCTACTTTAAAATTGTAACCCTGGAGTGAGAACACACGTACAAGTAAACACAATCTAGAATAAGATGTTAAGAAACCTATAACCATGTAACCACAGACCCAAAGAATCTATTTATTAAACAGATGTTTCAAGCACGACTGTGGATTGCAGGGAGTGGAGCAGGGGCCGAGGCAGGAGGCAGAACGTGAAGACTCAGATCCAACGGCATGGCCAAAGTCCTGCTTCTCCAGGAAGGATCGGGAGGCCATGGGCAGGGCCCACACAGTGCCTTGGTTCTCTTCTTCTAGGTACAGGACACAGAAGGGTGTGCTCCTTCCTTCTGTGGATTTTTGAGAGGATTAGGTTAAAGTGTTCTTACTGAACGTGTGCAGCAAGGCAAGTACACAGTACAGACGAGCTCTGATCTCCAGGTGCTGAAAACAAAAATGAAAATGGCTCATGTATCTGGGGAGTAGACAAGGATAGTTTATGGTGGGACCAGAAGAGACGGCTGGGAGAGAAGATGGAACAAGTTGATGCGAGAGCAGCTTTAAGTTGGATCCAATAAACACGCCTCTAGGTTTATAGCCAGGCGGGAAAGGCCTCCAGGCAAACAGGAGTAACAAGCCCTGGAGGAGACCAATGTGGGGGAAGCAGAGAGTGGTGGCCACCCCAGACATTGCAGCACTGGAGACTGGAGTGGGAGTGCACCAGTGAGCACCCAGCAAGAATATGCCTCAGAGTAAAACTTAACATAGCTCCATGCAAAGGCCCTGAGTTCAACCTCAAGAGGCACACACAGACACAATATGCATAAATAGTAATGTGAAAATGTAAATCTGTACAATCCATTTCAGAACACAGAGTAAAGAAATTGAAAATTTTCTAGAGTATAAGCCACTGAGGACCAGAACCATATGAATTGACTTGGCATGTTGCCACTCTCACAGTCTAACACAGTTTTATTCAGAGCAGCTGCTAAATAAATGATCATCCATTTGTATTGGAATCTACCAGGGAAAGGGTGGAAATAGCAGCAAACAGAACCTGAGCCATAGTGCAGAGGCCTAGCCCTTGGCTTCTGAATGCACATGGTGTGGACGTGAATCCAGATTCTGTGAAAACCTGAGCTTCCCCAGTGACTCAGTCCTCCCATTCTCCTCCTCCTCAAAGTGCAGGGAAAGTCAGTGATCCTTTCATAGGGCAGTAGTCTGGATGAATTGAACTGGTCCATAAGTCAGGCACCAGGAGATAGCAACTGGTAAGAGACTGACAGTTTCCATTATTGTAACTTGAAATGGATCTTAAAGAAAAACAACTGTGGGAGTAGCTGCCTTCGTGGAAGAAAAATATGTGAGCAAACAAATGCAGCTGGAGAATATTATGCTAAATGAGAGAAGTCAGCTGCTGAAAAATCACCCCACATCCTCTTTCTCCTGAGTGAAACCTAAAAATGTAACGTGGCTGCATTCTAAGATACAATCCTAACATTCTGGTGGCTGAGGCAAGAGGATCATAAATTCTAGCCCAGGCTGGAGAACTTAAGACTTGGCAAGATCCCATATCAAAATATTTTAAATGTGGTATAAGGGACCTGGGATATAGCTCAGTGAAGGCATCCAAAGTTAAAGCTTACAAGCTCTACATGGGTCCCTCAGCCTCCACAAAGGTACAACCTCCTGAATCCTCCAGATGCTCCGTGCACTGCTCCAGTATGACTGGAATACAACTCAGCTAGTATTTGTAGATATAATCAGATTGTTTAGAAATCTGACCTGTAGATGAGGTCTAAGGCCTATGTAAGCCAAAGTCTCAGATATGCCCCTGTGAGGACCAAGTTTTCAGGTCAAGGTCGGCTCCATGCCCCTTACCCAAAATAGAGTGAATGCAAAAGTTCCTTTCTGTAAAATTCCATTCTATGTGACAGTCTCTCTGTGTTTCTGTTCCTCTTTTAAGGGCAAGTTATCCTAGGGCATCTCCACTCTGTTTCTGTTCCTCTTTTAAGATCCCAAGATGAATTCTTTTCTGTTTGATTTAATTAATA